GTGTGTGTATTTAAAACTTATGTTCCCCTGGGGCCACTCTAAAGTCCCGTACACACAATGAGAATATCGGACGAATGATCGTCAATTTTTGTTTTGCATGCTAGTCTCATATTGATAATGAAAAGGTTACTAAAGTTCAAAAAATTCTCATAGGACAGAATAAAAATTCGGAAGTGATGTCATGTAGTGTAATATATTTGCATTGTATTTTTGGCCAAAAGCTGTACTGGTTAAACAAAAATTGTACAATCTGGTATTGTACGAGAAAAAGTTTTGTGCTTGTCCCTTGAAATTATTTTTTGATGACAGCTGTGTACTAACAATCAGATTATCATAGATTTACTTTGGAAATGGTATTTTTTGCATGATTTTCTGATCGTGTGTACAAGGCTTAAGGGGTTTCCATTTGTTTCTTCTTTTTTTTTTGTTACAGAGCACACTGTGGATGTCAGATAAGAATAGGACAAGTACTGTATATGTAAAATTAGAGATAAGGAAAGGCAAAAATCTTAACATGTACTAACCAGCCATATGTTTGTTTTTACCTAATACTAACCTATCAAAAAAAACAGGTATTGATTTTTGTGTCCCTGGTAAATTTATTTGTAATTGTGCATATAAAACCTAGTCATAGATTGTGATCAAACAAAATACACCAACGAAAGGTGCGTAAAATATCTTTTTATGTAATTGTTGTACCGCAGATCCAGCCCAGAAGTCAGAATAAAACAGATAAAAAACCTCTGTGCTCGGTATGATCCCAAGTTATGAACTGAGCATGCTCACAATGACTGCTCTCCAATCAACAACAAGATAGCCTGATGCTGTCACGCAGGGGGCAAGAAGTCCTTCATTTCAGCCTGTTGCAGGTATTTTGACTTTACGGCTGGCGCTGGCACAACTTTACATAAAAACCAACATAAATGCATAAGAAGTTATGTTTTTATGCACCTTTTGTAGGCGTATTTTGTCGAAGCGATTTCCCCTCAGTTTCTTCCTATTATTTCTCCAGTAGATAAAGTGAAAAAAATCTCCCAGTGACAAAGATAGCAAAAATAAATACTTAGCAGAGGTTTTAACTATCTATGGCCTTAAAGTGATACTAAACCCAGGACCCTGCATTTACTCTATCCGGTATCTCACAGTACACACAACATGGAAATGCAATCATTTTAGTAAATATAAACTGCTAAATACCTTTTCTCATCAGCAGTTAGAACAGTCTTGTGACTTCTATCAGTGTCTAGCAGAGCACTGGTTACAGCTTGAAGGAGGAGTTTTCATTCTCCTGTAGGAGGATGCAGGACCCCTGACCTCTCTCTCTCTGGACAGTGCTGATTGGCCCTTTGCTGATTACATGCACTCTCCAAAGAAAAAACTCTTTAGAAATACACACCAAACTGAGCATGTGCAGCTTGCTCCCCCCCATCCTCACCCTCTGTTCTATCAGGAGATATTTAGGAGACACTGGAAGAAGGGGAGGATCAGAGCAGAGGGTATCAGACATTATTTTTATACAATGTGGAGGATTACCCCTTAGGTTCCACAATGAGTATAACAAGCATGCTTTACTGCATATACAGACTGATTTTACTGTTGTGGGTTTAGTAATACTTTAAATATAAAGTGCTAATTCTTAAAGTGTTTGTATAACCAAAACATTTTTACAGTTTTGGGGTAGAATGGGTAGGGTTTAAAGCTATAACCATTTTTTTTGCTGGCAATGTCCCAGTGGGTGGGATTTACCTTCACTTCCTGTCCAGAAGGTGAAACAGGAAGTGAGAAGAATTGCCCTCTTGGACAGTTGTCATTGGAATAGGCATCTCCATTGGAAGATTTACTCTCACTTCTTCTTCTGGTGACAACTATAAAATTTTGGATTTCCATCACTTTCTCTCTCTGTGACAATGGAAATGGATTGGTGTACCAACAATATTGTTACATTTAAAAAATATATTGCTCATGCAAACTTTGTGATTTTAAAATACAGTGTAGCTGTTCAGTATTATAAACCTGTTTTTGGCATTGGCACATTTTGGCCATGCCAGGGTCCAGCTTCAAATTCCCTTTTTTAACAATGATGCCATTTTTTTAGAACATGTATGCAACACTGTGACATTATATTCAAAGTTACTCTCTACTAATAAAACAAACCACTCACCATACCTACTGACCCCACAGTGCTCAGAGGTCAAGTCTCACTTAAAGTGGAAATCTAGTCAGAAAATTAAGTCCTGATAAACCACTTCAGGCTGGCCCCTTTTGCAGCCATAGCTACAGTATGTAAAACATTCAAAATAAGACCTATACAGTGTAAAATCCAGTCATGATCAGTTGCTCTCTGCTCTGCACATGCTCGGTTGCTCTCTGTTCTTGGCACTGTGCCTGAAATCACAGCCACTTGAGGCCAATCAGCTGACAGCTTTAAGATTTACTGTTGCTGAAGGAGGAAGAAAGCAACAGGAATGGCACAGACTGTGCAGAGGGACCACAAATTAGGAAGCAATAAAAGAAAAGCTGCAGAGGTGACAGGACAAACTCTGCTGCCAGGGTTTGAAACGAGTGATACTTACAAGGGTAGTGTCTTATGTTATCTATCTGATATTCTCTCCTTTCAACCTCATGAGCAACCTGTGAATTTCAGCACTGTACAGCTTATGTCAGCCTTCCTCTCTAGCTGAACTAGGACATACAATTAAGGCTGGTAATGCACACATTTTATTTGCAGAAAGTGACATATATTTTTTGAAACCAAGGAGAGAGGAGAGTTTCCAATAAAGAAGCGAGTACTCTGGGCTTCATCAAAATGGCAGCCTCCAGCAAGAAGACACAGGAGCAATGCTGGAGGCAATTCTCAGCACATACTCATTTTGGTAGCATAATTATTAATGTGGAATGTATGTTCATTTCTTAAGAAATATTAATTGCCAATTGTTATCAAACTGTTATGGGTGAAGTTCCACTTTAATCAAACCTTAGGGCCCTTTCACACATGCATTCAGTCTGGATCCATCTGTCAGTTTTTCAGACAGATCCAGACTGGTCCACAGTGTATGTCTATGGATGTGCTGATGTAAATGGAGATATGTCCATTTACATCCACTTACATCTGAGACAATTTATGTTCACAGAAAAAAAAACAGAAAAGATTTGCCTACTTTTCTATTTTAATGAACATAAACAGCATAGTTGCCAACTGTCACGGATTGCTTGGGAAAGCCCCGATTATTTCAATGATGTCCAGCCATTGCTCAGTCCTGGCCAGTGTCCCGAAAATCAGAGATGAGGGCGGGGCAGTCACACAGAAAGGGCTTCATACTTCTACAAGAGCCCCATTTGCTCAGTGGGATAGGGGCCATGGCAGACTGGGGACTTTGTTTCCATTTCCGGGAGCAGCAGAGTAATCTGCAGTGCCGCTGTTTCTTGTTAATAAACGAAACTCCCAGCTACTTTTGTATCAATCTGCAGAATTGCTCCGGTGGATTGATGTAGAAGAGGCCAGGACATTAGTTTAATTTAAAGCAGTCTGGGGCCTAGGCAGTCTGGGGCTTGGGCAATCTGGGGCCTGGGCAGTCTGGGGCCTGTGCAATCTGGGCCTGGGCAGCTGGGTGAATCAAATGTGGGTGGGGAGGGTGATCGGCATGGCGGAGGAACAATTGCAGTATAGCTCTCGCTGCAGCCAATGAAAGCTGGTTTCTTCTCTTCTCTCTCTCCCGCTGGCTTTCAACTACTGCAGAGAGCCATACAGGGGATTGGTTCCAGTATTTTCCTCACTTCCACACCCATCACCCTCCCTGTGCACCATATGTTTCCCCTGCTGCCCAGGCCCTCCTGTGTGCCCCCATCCCCACAGTGCTGCTGGCATCCCTCCTCTCCTTCAGACCAGCAGCTGTAAGCACACAATAGGATACTTCAGGATGAAGTGTGGGCGAAGGGTCCAGTAAATGTCACATTTACCAGCCCCTTCATTTCCTAAATGAACACAATGGGTGATTGGTAGCAATCACTAACTGTGTTCATTCATAGCTGAAGCATAGTAAACTGTGTTTTTTGGGGGGTTTTGTGGGGTGAGGGGTGCTGTCAGGTTGGCTCTATGGGGTCCCATGGTTTCTAACAGCAGCCCTGGACAGACCTAAAAAGTTATTGATGTCAACAACCCCCATCCCCCTACAAATAAAGAAAAATATGTGTGCTGCCTTATGTCCACATTCCTTGGTGTTGTCTATAAAGAAATGCAGAGCATTCATTAAGAAATATATTGCAAAAATTCCTAAATGCTATATTCATGAGAAGCTAAGTGTACAATAGGGAAAAAGGTTTTGCGTAAGGAGGGAACCTGCAGAGAACAGAATGCAATACTAAGAGTGTTTTTACCCTAAATGAACAAAGAGGAGAAGTATTACATAATGAACTGTAGCGGAATAATAAATGCTTGTTGTGTTGTATCACATTCACAATAGCACATCGAACATAGCATGGGCTTATTTAAAAAACATCGGTATAGTTGTACTGCAGTCATTATTGTTTTAAAGTGGTTGTAAACCTCAGTCATGAAATATAAAAACATATTCCTCTATAGTGTATGCTTGTCTCAATCCAAACTACTAAGTGTCATATCTGTCTGTTGCCTTGTCCCTCTGCTATAAGCATGAGTCACTTCTGACACGTTTTCCTGACACCTAGAGAAAATGGTGACAGGGAGGGCATAGCACTTTCCTCGCAGCTGTCACAGAGCAGATCAGCACTGATCATCAGGTCACTGATGATCAGTGCCCTGCAGAGCCACCCAGCAGTGCCACCCACCAGTGCCCAGCAGTGCCTCCAACCAGTGCCCAGCAGTGCCACCCATCAGTGCTGCCTAGTAGGTGTGCCCATCAGTGCCCAGCAGTGCCGCCCATCAGTGCCATCCAGCCAATGCCCTGCAGTGCCATCAGTCATTGCTGCTAGTCAGTGCTGCCAGTCAGCGCTGCCCATCAGTGCCAGCCATCAGTGACCATCAGTGCCGCATATCAGTGCAGTATCATCAGTGCCTCCTTATCAATGCCCACCAGTGCTGCCTCATCAGTGCCACCGCATCAGTGCAGCCTATCCATGCCACCTCATCAGTGCCCATCAGTGCTGCCTATCAGTGCACCCTCATCAACGCACATCAGTGAAGGAGAAATATTACCTGTTTGCAAGATTTTATAACAGAAACAAACAAAAAAATTTTTTTTTCCACATTTTTTGCTCTTTTTTTGTTTATAGTGCAAAAAAGAAAACACCCAGTGGTGATTAAATACCACCAAAATAAAGCTCTATTTGTGTGAAAAATATGCTAAAAATTTTCTATGGGTACAATGTTGCATGACCGCGTGCAATTGTCATTCAAAGTGCGACAGTGCTGGGAAGCTGAAAGTTGGCCTTGCCCGAAGTGGGTATAAGTACCCAGTAGGCAAGTGGCTAATCTCTGTAAATCACCTGAAGCCTGTAAGGGTTTACAACCACTTTAAATAAAATGAACACTATACACTTATAAAGCATCGTTGTGCTTGATATATGCGCTTGATTCTCTGCCACCTTTCGAAATCTGAAGCTTTGAGTGCACTATCAATAAGGAGGAAGGAGTGGTCATGTGACCTGTCAATGTCACACAAGAGCTCTCCTCCAATTATGGAATTCTCCCTGCTACATGCAGCTTGTAATTTATGAATGGGCTGTAAAATGCAAGTCCTGGTGCATGTAGCCGAGCAGAGTACAACCGAGAGCAGATAGCGATGTCCACTCTCTGTTGTTGCACAACATTATTATTCTACAACTACATTTTATTCCCATAGTTTCTCCAGCAAGGATAGTTTAGTAAAAATCTATAAAAATATATTTACAGTCCATTAATCACCTTATTCAGCTGCAGCTTTAACTTAGCTCATAATAACAGCTCAACACTACATTAAAAGACAAATCAACAAAGAAATATAACACAGCATAACACAAATAAAGGCTGAAAAATGTGTGACATTCAAAAACAGACTAGATCACTTAGCAGTGTGTAAAAAGTTCACCCAATATGCCCCCATGTGTCACTTACTGTAGCCAAATATTATAATGGTGTTTTCCTTCTGTCGTGTAGATCATACCATTGATATGTGGATTGATGCTTACCTTCATGTCTCAATTTTCTGATAAGAGGATTTTCAAGCCTCGATATTTTGTCGGGATCCCACAAACTCCCCTGGTATCAATCAATTTCTATTTCCATGATACTTTTTTGTGCCCATATCCACTGGCAATCAGCATTTTCTTCATCTGTTATCTGCCTGATGTCTAGTGGTTTTTGTGCCTGTACCGCCCTGGTGTTTTTATGCCTATATCCTATTGGCATCTTATGTTTTCTGTAGCCATAATCCTCTGGTGTCTAACATATTAATGTCCATATGCCATGGATAATTAGAATTTTTTGTTTTTCCTAATGTTACATCTTTCTGGTTCCTGTCTTACCTACATCTACTAATATGTGTGCCCAAATCTTCCTGGAATCCAGTGTTTTTCATATCTATATATTTTAAACACACTTGGACAAAATATAGTCCCAAGCCTGGGGGCCCTTCCCTTGGAGCCCAGGGGTGGAACGCAAGGGCCCAGTTGCAAATGCGACCTTTGCCATTATATTAGTTCCACCACTGGTGTTAGTAGTTTTTTATTTTATTATCTATTTATGCTTTATTATTTTTTACTATTTTTTTATTTTTTCTTACAATTTAAATTATTTATTGTTTTTTTTAAATTGTTTGTAGGGGTCCCGTTGGGGGGCTTTGATGGGGTATCAAGGGTCTAAACAGAGGAAGGGGTATATGGCCCTCAAAATGACATATTTACCTGCATCTTCTCCGCTCTCCCATCCTGCAGTAGGAGAGGGGAGGGCGGAGCCTGGCAGTAATGCAAGGGAGGAGGGGGGGCCTAGAGAGGGCGCACAGGGGGACCAGGAAAGAGAACAGGGGCCCAGGGGCAGCAGAAAGAAGATGGATAGGAGGAGCAGCGGGGTAGCATATAGAGGAACTGATCCATTCTTTTTTCACCTGCAGTCACTGAATGCCTGCAGGAGGGAGAGCAGGAGAAGCAGACATTCAGTAGTGGCAGGAGGGAAATGGATGGATCAGTTCCTCGATATGCCACCCCCGCTCCCCCGCTATACAGGAGGCGCTGTCCAACTGGGCAAATGCCCCACATGCCATATGGCCAGTCTGGGCCTGCTGAACATACATATTGCAAATATGTAGATTATGACATATTGCAGTGTACATTCCTACGCAGGCTTCATTTATGTAGATTATCCTAGGTAGCATCCATGTGTTGATAAGCCTCCATTACTATAAGAGCTGAAACCAAATAAATGTAAGGGAGAGGGCACAAACAGTTAGGCTGGGGAGGAAAGTGTTAGATGATTTCGGACATTCAGTCTGAAAAGAGATTATATCTGACTTTCTGCCACTTTTAATGCATATTGTGCAGTGAAAACAGAGTAAGCAATTTTAGTAAAGGAGAGGGATCTGTACAACTGCGCAAGACTAATAATAAGGCTGGGGTTCAGCTTTAAGGCTGGAGGGTGTTTTCCAGTATATTTGCCTAGAATTCCAAATTAAAACTAATCTCCAGTGAGTAAACTTTTCCCTCTTCTCTCCTCCCATACCAATCAAAATGTATTTTTAAAAAAAAAAAGTTTTTAAAGCCTCAATAATTACCTAAAAATTACAGTCAAGTGGCACAATGGTCCCAGGTCTCCTCTCTTCTGCTCCGTAGTGTGGGAGTTTTCAGTTTGTAGTGCTCATGTCTCTTCTTGGTGATATGAGGGCTACACATGGGCCCTTCTATCCCTCTTGTATTGAACTGTATTGTTGCTGTATTGTCTTCCGTTATATTGTAAAGTGCTGAGCAAACTGTTGGCGCTATAAAAATCCTGTATAATAATAATAATACACATTGCCTGTTCAAATAGCCCATCACTGGGTCCTACAGCAGTGAAAAGTGACGTGACATGAGAGATGGCCTGGGCAGATGAAGAGAATGGAGAGTAGCTTCAGAAAATGCACCCCAAAGATCAGATGACAGTAATGGTGGTTGGGACACAGACATGGGTGTACTGTATGGGGGGCATTTTGCTACCAGTGTCCCTAAAAGGTATTAAAAAAAAACACGTCAGCTAAGTGCACCAGCTTCTGCTCAACAAATATATAATTCATTTTGGATGGACTTTAGCTCACATAAAATACTTTTTTCATATGAAAATTACTTTGACTAGATAACCTTTGGTATTTTTTTTTTTTTTTTTTTTGAATGATCGTGACCTATTCCCCTCTCTTTGGTACTTGTAAAGAAATGTTGAGGTTATAATGAATGAGCTATTGTTTTGGAAGGAATGACTGGATAAATTGATAAAGTTTCTCATACCAGCACACTAGGATTTTTTACAAGACACGTCAAACCTGTAAATCTGGTTTTCTCTGTGCATTGTGTATGGCCATCACAAAAGGTATGCATACAAAAATGCATCAGCAAACATTCCTTTCTTGCGTCTCACCATGAGATTAAAGATATGCTTCTTCTAAGTCTCTCCCTAAACATCAATTTATAAAAATGTAACTGAAATAATTATATTACTGCATTATAAATGTAATATGTACTGTATCTTCTTTACTCATGTGCACATCCTATTGGTGGTCCTAAGTGTCTAAACAAGTAGTCACTTCTCACAGCACTGAACATGAAGCATAAAACGCCAATATAAAGAGCTGTAGGTCTTGTTTAACTAGGCCCAGACTGGTCATAGGGTACACCAGGTATTTGCCAAGTGGGTCGGGGCACTAGGCTGCATGTCCTGATGGAGAGTCCCAATGGGAACAAGGCAACGAAGGCCTCGGATCCCACAGATCTAAGTCTGGTACTGGCAGCGGCGTCCTCAGGGTGCTAACAGGCTGAAATAGCTTTGCTCCGCATATCATGTGTACACGGCGAGAGGGCGGCCCTGGAGATGCAGTCCATGGGGAAGGCAGGTCGCTAGTGCATCTAGGACCAAGAGCCCAAAAGGGAGAAGACCTTTGTCGCCTCCCTGACCCTTGAAGAGGCAAGCAGCAGCAGGCACAGCATCCCCAGCACCTCCCACAGCCTGGGCTCCTTCTCCAACCTCCTCTCTGCTCAGCGACAACAGCCCAGAGCATGAGGACTGGTGGGAGGAGCAAGCAGCCAGGGATCGCTACCCCGGGGACAGTCTACTGCTGGCATGGAAGTTACCAGGCATCACACACACAACACACCTACCCAGAGACAGGTTCTGGGACAGGGGGGCACAGGAGGAACTGTAGACAGGGCGGGTGGTCTTTCTATATCCCCCCCTCTCTCCCCTCCCTCCCCTCTCTCTCTCCCCTCTCTCTATCTCTGTCACCCCCTCTCTCTCATCCCTCCCTTTTCTCTTCTCCTTCTCTCTGTCACCCCCCCTCTCTCTCACCCCCTCTCATCCCCTGACTTTCTTTTCTCCCCTCTCTCATGCCCCATCTCACCCCCCTCTCTCTTCCATCCCCCTCTCCCTCTCTTATTCCCCCTCTTCCATCTCCCCCTCTCTCTCCCCCCTCCCCTTTCTCTTCCCCTCCTCTCTGTGTCACCCCCCCATCCCCTGACTCTCTTATCTCCCCTCTCTCATGCCTTTCTCACCCCCCCTCTTTTCCACCCCCCCTCTCTTTCTCTTATCCCCCATCTCTCCCTCTCTTATTCCCCCTCTCTCATCTCCCCCTTTCTCTCTCACCCCCCTCTGTCCCAGCCCCCCCTATCTCTCTCCCCCCCTCCCCTCTTTCTTCCCCTCCTCTTTCTGTCACCCCACTCTCTCTCACCTCTCTCTCATCCCCCAACTCTCTTATCTCTCCTCTCTCATCCCTCCCTCTCACCTCCCCTCTCTTCCATCTCCCCTTTCTCTCACCCCCCTCTCTCTCTTACCCCCTCCTCTCCCTCTTTCATCTCTCACTTTCTCTCTCACCCCCCTCTCTTTCTCATCCCCCCCTTTTAAATTTCACCCCCCATATCTCTTGTATACCCCCCTCTCTC